GTAAATGGACTAAACGCACCAATAAAGAGACAGAGAGTGGCCGACTGGATAAAAAAACACGATCCGTCTATATGCTGCCTGCAAGAGACACACCTTAGACTTAAAGACATAAACAAACTAAAACTCAAAGGATGGAAAAAAATATATCAAGCAAACAACACTCAAAAAAGAGCAGGAGTGGCAATATGAATCTCTGACAAAAGACTTTAAAGTAAAATCTACCACAAAGGATAAGGAAGGACACTATATAATGATTAAAGGGTCAATACACCAGGAGGACATAACAATAATAAATATTTACGCACTCAACAACAGGGCTCCAAAATACATAAAACAAACTCTAACAGCACTGAAAAGAGAGACAGACAGCTCCACAATAGTAGTAGGAGACTTCAACACACCACTTTCAGTGAAGGACAGAACATCCAGAAAGCAGCTCAACAAAGACATGGAAGAGCTAAATGCTACAATCAACCAGCTTGATCTCATAGACATATACCAAACACTCCACTCAACAGCAGCCAAGTATACGTTCTTTTCCAATGCGCATGGAACATTCTCCAGAATAGATGTATTGACCTAGAGAGATGTTCATCAAATATTAGGTGACAAAAGGTAAATTGTGGAGCATAGTTCTGATTTTTTTTTTTTTTTTAAAGATAATGTCCTTATATAAATTTGCAGGAAGCAGGATATAGTTTAGAGCTGAATGTCTGACACCAGGAAGTCGGTAGCCCAATCCTGGCTCCTCCATCTCCTCCCTGGGTGTGATAAACTCTCTTGGCCTCGGTTTCCTCGAGTGTAAAAGGGGATTACTAATAACCTTTACCTCGTAAGCTTGCTGTGAGCATGCAATGAGATGTTTGTGTAAATTGCTTAGAGATTCCTGGTGCACCATTCCATGGTATTATGAGTATGAGCATGACCTACACGATCATGGAAAATACGGTGGAAGCAAACATACCACACTGTTCTCATTTGTTATCTCAGGTGGGCGGGGCTAGAGGGGTGGGACACAGGGTGATTAACATTTTGTCTCAATTCAACTTATTATAGCTAGCATGTGTTACTTTTGTCATTTTCTTTAACCCACTAAAGTAGAAAGGCAAGAAGAACAAACCAGTCTTCCCTGAGCTGGGACTCTTAGGGCTCTGTGTTCATCACGGTGCTCTAAGAAGGGTTGGGAAAGGGGGCCATGCAAGGCAGAAGCCCCAGGAAAGCCCTCTGCCCCAACAGGTGATCCAACACACTTGGATCTGTTTCCCTCCACTGCAGAATGGAACTGCTAGTGGCATCCATGTAAAGTATGTTACTTAATACCAAGGACAGACCTCAGTCCAAGTCCCAGTGGTGCTGATGTGGCACTATGAGTCACATATCCTCTAAGGACCCTACCTTTGTCAACCCCGTAAGTCCCCACATCAACCCTATGAGTTGGGTACTTTACTACTATGCAGGTGGGGAAACTGAGGGACAGAAAGGTTAAGTCACTTAGGGGAGCTCACACAGTAGAAAGTGGCTAGATTCAAAGACAGGTAGCTTGGCTCTGAGTCCTGGCTCTGGACCACCAGGCTCTACTGCATCCCCCATCTTAGCATGTGACCTCTCCTCTCCCAACTCAGTTTATTCAGCTGTGACATGGGTTTCCCAATCCTCACTTCTTCAGTTTGCTGCAAGGGTTGAATGACATCGAGCTTGGACCTGGCAGAAGTGTTTTAAAAGAAAGACTTTGTCACTCAGTCCCTGCAGGAAAGAGAAGTGGATGTCCTAATGCCCTGGGCCTCTCTCTGAGGTAAGTTCCTGGTAATTGTACAATGCCCCACTGAGAGGAGAGAGAATACAGGGAGGGAATCCAGGCCCTGGGTCTTCCAGAAACCACAGGGCGAGGCTCACGGGCCCCTCCCCATCCTACTCCCGCGCTGGGTTAGTGGCCCTGTGGCATTTTCATGCCCCACCCCCGACTTTCCCACTACACCCAGACCTGACCGCACTGCATCTTGTTCCTTCCCTACTAGAGGAGGAAGCAGAGTTTGGGGTCCTGTGTAACCCACTGGGGTGTGAAGCAAGCCTCCCCCCCCACCCCCTCCGACGGGGCTGATAAAGGTGGCCAGGCCAGCTGTGCACCCTGCCCGCCATGTCCCGCCGCTGCATGATGCTTACCTGCGCCCTCCTCGCCCTTCTCGCCCTCGGGGCGGTTCAGGTTGAGGGGACCAGCTCCTGCACCATCGTGCCCCGGAGCGAGTGGAAGGCCAAGGCGTCCGAGTGCAACCAGCGCCTAAACCTACCCGTCCGCTACGTGATAGTGTCGCACACGGCGGGGAGCACCTGCAACAGCCCTGCCTTGTGCGAGCAGCAGGCCCGGAACGTGCAGTATTACCACATGCACAGCCTAGGGTGGTGCGACGTGGGCTACAAGTGAGTGCGGAGGCTGCGAGGCCCGGGCAAGGGCCCCAGGCAGGGCTGGGGCGGGGAAAGGTGTGGAGGTTGTGGGGAGCAGAACCCGGTTCTACGCTTGGCTCTGCAGCCTCCAGGCTGGCATGCTGGGCAGTTCACTCAGCCTCCAGGGGCCTTTGTTTCTCCCCAGCGTGGCCACATAGGACTGGGAATACGCAGGCAGCACAAAGACAACTGAGGAGGGGGAAGGGGCTGAAGCCCCAGCTCTGCCCCCAGAGGAAGGAGCAGGTTTTGCCTAAGATGCTCAAAGGTGTCCCCTGATGCCTTTGTCAGGAGGCAGAAGCCCAGGCTGATTAAGCGTGGAGTGGGCTCCAGCCCCAGCTCGGCTAATTGCTGGCTGAGACCTGGCTGGTCACTCACTCACCCTCTCTCAGCTTCAGCTGCCTTCTTTGCAAAGTCCCTAGGATGGTGGCCCACCTGATCACTAAATGGGCCAGTTCATGCAAGGCATTTAAGACACTGCCTGGCATACAGTATCACAACCAGTGTTCGCTGAGTCGACTTCGGCTCACAGTGGCCCCATGTGTCAGAGTAGAACTGTGCTCCATAGGGTTTTCAATGGCTGATTTTTTTGGAAGTAGATTGCCAGGCCTTTCTTCCAAGGCACCTCTGGATGGACTTGAACCTCTTTCAGTTAGCAGTTGAGTGCTTAACCATTGGCACCACCCGTGCACTCTGGCATATAGTAGGAGCCCCTAAATACACGACTTATTGCTACTAGGCACCTACTGTGTACCAGGCCCCATGCTGTACACTGCGGTGGGGACACAGCCTTGAACAGTGTGAATCCAGCCCTAGTGGCATAAGGGACCAGCAGGGAGAAACAAGCAAAGCAACAAGATGGATTCAGATGGTGATAGATGTGACGGAAAAAGGAACAGGGTGATGTGAGAGTGACCTCTGTAAGCTAGAACAGGACCCACACGGGCTCCCCTGGAAGGACGTGGTGAGAGAAGGCTTCCCTGAGAACATGGCTTTGAGTTGGCTCTGGGAGCTGAGAGAAGAGTGTGGCAAGCAGGAGGCACAGCAGATGCAAAGGCCATGAGACCTACTGGGCCACTCACCTCTGAAGGGCAGAGGTCAGAGTGGCTGGAAGCAGATGGGGGTGGTTGTTGTTATGTGCCAAAGAGTCAATTTTGACTGATAGCAATGGTTGTAGGGGGTGTGAAAAGAGATGGAAGAGGATGGTAGGGACCAAATGGTGCAGGACCTGGTGGGCCAGAATGAGGACTCTGGCTTTCATCCAATGGAAGCCACAGAGGGCTCTGAGCAAACGGCCGTGAGCTGACTTAGGTTTTCACAGGCGCCCTCTGGCGGTCAGGTGGGGAGAACACTGTACGGAGGTGAGAGCCCAAACAGGGTGGAGGGGGCGGTGGGGGGTGCTTACGTCTGCCTCTGGGGGCCACGCCCACCAGCTTCGTTTTTGATGCAATAGGCTGAGGTCCTGCACAAGCGTTTGTACAGTGGGAGGGGAAGCTGGAACACTACAGGCTTCCTGACTTTGCTGAACATCAGATTCACGGGAGCGCTTATTTAAAACGCAGGTTCCCAGGCCCCACCTCTAGACACTGCTTCAGTAGGGCTAACGCGGGGTCTAGGAATCTGAAGACCTGCCTCCTAGGGTATGCACAGCTCTTCCCACTCAAGATTTTATCCTGCAGTCTCCAGTTTCAGGGTTTTGTTTCCAAGAGTCCGATTCTCAGTGTTCGCATGACTTAACGAGGACTCCGCAGCCTCTCGTCTAAATCACTTGACAGAAAAGCAGACCGCAGTCTGTTGCTCAGATTTCAGGATTCAGAGTCTGACTCTAACGTTCTGTTCTGGATCCCCCTTCCTTGTCATGTCACGTTCTCTCTCTGAGCCTGTTTCTTCACCTGTAAAATGGGGCTCCTAGCTGCCCCCACCTGGTGATAGTGGTGGCTGAGGTTTAAATTAGATGCACCCCTTTACCGAATACCGGGCATTCCTAGCCCAGCCCTGGCGGTTGGCACCACTCTGGTCTTTCTAGTCTCCTCTGAGCCAGACTCAGGACCTGAGATTCAGGAGTTCCAACATCCTGTGCATCTGCAGGGACCCTATGAGTCAGAGGGCTGAGCCAAAGGTCCCGCCGCTCCAAGATGGTGGCCGCCTCGTTAATTCCAAAGTGCCAAGTCAGGCTCACTCAGTCAAGACGTGGGGAATGAGGGAGCCTTAAGGGTCAGCTGCCAGGATTAGAAACTTCAAGGAGGCAGGTGCTGGGGCTCCAGGGTCTGTGTCTGATTGTGACCCTAACCCTTGAGCCCCTGATCCCATCGCCCAGGTGGACCCAGAGGCCAGGAAGCAGGCCGGGGCGGGGGCAGAGCTTCTCAGTGGAGAGTTCTGGGTGATTTGACCTTAGATGAGTCACCTCGTTTTCTGAGTCTCTGCTTCCTCAGCTTAAAATGGGGATAACAACAGTACTTACCTTAGAGAGCAGCTGTGTGAAGATTCAGCAAAACCAGAGCTCGACAAATCCTCCCGGAGGCAAAAAGAAGCAAGAAATAAGACCATGTGGGTAGGAGTCAAGTTCTGGCTCTGCCCCTGCCTGGCTGTGTGACCCTGGACAGATGGCTTCACTTCTCTGGTTCTCTCTCGATAAATGCGGGCCACAGTGACTGTGGGATGAAATAAGGTGCATGTAGAGCTGTGCCTGGCACATGCAGGGACTCAAATGGCCACTGCCATTATTAGTAGGATGGAAATAAGAGGATGAGAAGGGGGATGTTGAGGAAATTGTGTGAGTGGCATGAACAGGGGGATGGAGGAGGGGGATGGAATCCTCCCCCAGGAAGCCCTCCCTGACTCATCAATTGCCCTCTCCCTGCCCCCGCAGCTTCCTGATTGGTGAAGATGGGCTGGTGTACGAGGGCCGTGGCTGGAAAACCAAGGGCGCCCACACAGGAGCCACCTGGAACCCCATATCCATTGGCATCAGCTTCATGGGCAACTACATGGGTGAGTGACTGGGGCAGGGCAGCGGGCTGCCATGGGGCCTGAGGCTGGGGCGGGGGGTTGGGGGCGGCGGGGGGTGGTGGTGGAGAGGCTCTGCCACCTACAAGCTCTGCGACCTTTTCCTGAGCCTCCTTTCCTCCTTTGGATAGTGGGCGTCATTTCCAGCCATAGGGTTGGGGTGAAGATTAATCTATAGAGAAGCTATTAATCCAGGCCTTGGCACATAAGAAGTGCTTGTTAAATGTCAACTATTATTTTGGATGGGACCCAGAGGTCTGCGGCAGAGGAGGGAGAATGAGCAATAACCATTATGCCACTCGCTGGGGGCTTATTCTGTGCCAGGCGTGGATGAGGAAACTGAGGTACAGAGAGAGTAAGTCACTGCTAGGGAGTGACAGAGCCCCGATCTGGGCCCTGAATCGAACCATTCCTCCCCCCTCCCCTCCCCCACACGGCCTCTGCCCTACCTGGAAGCCCCAGCCTCACCCCTGCCTTTGCCTCCCCCAGAGCGGGTGCCCCCGTCCCGGGCCATCAGGGCGGCCCAGAATCTGCTGACCTGCGGCGTGGAGCTGGGAGCCCTGACCCGCAACTACGAGGTCAAAGGACACCGGGACGTGCAGCAGACGCTCTCCCCGGGCGACCAACTCTACGCCCTCCTCCGGAAATGGCCGCACTACCGCGAGTGAGGCCCCGCCTCCCGGCTCCCCCCTCCGCGGCTCCGCTCCCGGCACAGCCTGAAACCCCACCCACTGTCTCCTCCTCCAATAAACATGCAGCTCAAACTGGGTTCCTCCTGGCGCCGCCACGTGCCTCCCCTCCCTCTCTCCCGCCCACGAGACCGTAGCCCTGCCCCCTCCCCCCCCACACTGTCCTCCAAGGTGCTTGGAACCCAGAGGCCCCGACCCTGAACCAAGACCCCGGAGATCCCAGCTCGGAAGCGACATCACAGCTCAGAACCCAGAGGTCTCAGGTCAGAGCCCAGGAATCGGCACCGAGTCGGCCCGGGGTCCGGGACAGAAGCTCGGGGTCCTCGGGGCGAGGCGCCAGGCTGCACGGCCCCCTCCCGTCCAGCGCAGCCACGCTGGTCCCAGCGCAGGATCTCTGCTTAGACCCCTTTGTGGACGGGCTGCTCACTACCACGCGTCAGGCCACCCCTTTCATTGCTTTGGAGAGCCTGAACCCGTCTGCCTCCCAGACACACACAGAAATACACACAGGCCCTGCTTACACCCCCACCCCAAATCCTCCTTTCTCCGCACTCCACCCCAAGCCTTCAGTCATAAGCCGAGGGGTCCCAAGGGCAAATATGTTTATTTACAAATAGCACAAACCCTCCCACGCAGCTTGCATTGCCGGGGGGCGGGGACGGGGCAGAGCCTCACACCTGGAGAACCCCCACCAAAGAACCAGGAAGGCCAGGGCCTCAAACCTAGACACTCCCCAGAACCAGGAAGGGCGGGGCCTCACCTGGAAACCTTCCCCCCAGCACCGGTTGGGGGGGGGGCCCGACTGGGACGGGAGGCCACCCTGCCCCGCCCCCACGCAGTACCCCAGCGGGAGTTGAGTGGGTAGAGGGGCAGCACTCTGTGCGGTCACGACCGCGTGTCCAGCCGGTTCATGTATTCCTGCAAGGCCTTCAGCCGGGCGTCTATTTCGGCCATGTCGGCCGCCTGGTGGTCTGAGCTGTAATCTGTGGGGGTGGGCATGCCGGTGGGGGGCTGTGAGGGGCCCAACACGCTGCCCTCCGTTCCATCCCAGCGGGCTCCGGGGCTAATGGGGGAGAGGAGTCCCAAGCTCACCTTTGATAGGGACCCAGCCCCCCGAATTGCCCGTGCGTCTTTGATGGCCACGCTCCAGGGGGGTAGACTTCTGCTGCTGCTGTGGGAGGCAGTAAAGGAGGTCGGGCTTCCTCCCCCTATTCCTCTCCCCAGTTCCACTGGAAGTTCAAATCTAAGGTCCTCAGAAAAAAGGAGCTGACACAAACTGGACACTTACTATAGGCAAAACCACCTCCTAGTATCTTCACAACTACTCCCTGAGGTGGATACTATTACCATTCCCACTTAACAGAGCCCTGGTGGCACGATGGTTAAGGCGCTTGCGTGCTAAGCAAAAGGTTAGCAGTTCCAATCCACCAGCCGCTCCTTGGAAACCCTGTGGGGCAGTTCCACCTTGTCTTATAGAGTCACTTATGAGTCAGAATCGACTCGATGGCAAAGAGGTTTTTTGTTTTTTTATTATTAACAGATGAAGAAACCGAGAAACTGAGAGGCTAAGTAATTGCCTTAAGTCACACAAGTGGTAGAAGGGAGAACCAAAGTCTTAAGATCTGGTCATTTGAGACCAGAGTATGGGCTCATAACCAGCATCCTGTGTCCCCCGCCCCCTCCATCCACTGGGTCTGGAAATACCCTGTTTCCAAAAGCATTTCAGAGCTGCCTCTGCAACCTGACCCCCTAGAATGGAATCGCAGGAGATGGAACAGCCAGCTTCTGGTGGCAGCCCCTATCCCCTCCAAGGCCTGATGAAAGACACTCACCGTATAGGACCTATTCCAGGTTTTGGGGCTGGGAGGCTTCCTGCAGCGGCGAACGCTGAGAGAAGGGAGCAATCCAGGAGCAATGCGGAGGAACCTCTGGCATCGCACACCTCACCCTCCGTAGTTTCAAGACCCACCTTGTCCTCCACCACCTATCTCCCTACAAAAGGCTGTTTCCAGGCTCCCCAGAGGCCCGATTCGAGGTGGTCCTTTTCCCTAGCCCAAGTTTTACCCTCTGGAGAGCGACTCGGAGAAATCCTCGAACTCGCTGCAGGAGCTGGCGGACGAGCAGCGACTGCGGAAACTGTCCACTAGAGGGAGGAGGAGGACGTGAGGCTCCCCGTACCCGCCAGGCCCGCCAGGCCCGCCCGCCCCGGGCTCCAGCCCAGTTACCGGAGGAGCTGCGGTTTCGGGAGCGGTTAGCCGCGTCCCCTCGGCCGGTCACGGCGGCGGGGGGCCGGGTCTGGCGAGACCATGAGATCGTCGGACCGTCCCCGCTGCCTCCACTGCCCAGTCGGTTTCGCTGCTGCTGCCTGGGGAGCGGGAAAGGAGACCCCGCCTGTGCGCTCCACTAATGCGAGGAAAGGCCCCTTGGAGTCACAGCCATGACTGAAGTCCCTGGGGGAAGCCTGTGACCCACCTGAGGTCACTCAGACAGAGAAGATTGCGGGGACACAGGCAGGGTCGGGGGTTGGGAAGGACAACTGAGCAAGGCAGGTGGGGGTGAGAAAAGGGAAGGAGGTAGGTAAGAAAAGGGTGGGGGGGGAGCGATGAAGCAGCAGCTGACAGGTGAGGGACTAGGAAAAATGAGGGGTGGTGACAGGTGAGGAGGTCACCGGTGAGGGAGGCAGGGATAAGGGGGGCCCTGCGAAGGGGCCCTAATGAGCACTCACTTCATCTTGAGCTCTCTCTGCTTCTTCTCCTTGGCTTTCACAAAGGCCGTGGGGTCGAAACGGGTCCCGCGACCACCTAAGACAGGGAAGGATGAAGTCAGGATTGCGGGTCCACAGCTCCAGTGGGTCCCGCCTTGCCCTCGGGCAGGGCAAGGCAGCACAGACCTGTGGGCGAGGGAGAGGGCCGGGCAGGGCGGCCCCGACCCCGGCCCCCGCGGCCGCTTTCCCGCGATGAAGAACGGGCTGCGCCGCGGCCACGCGATGTGGAGCGCTCCCGGGACGACGAGGCGCGGTCCTCCCGGACCGAGGGCGGTACCACCGGCGGAGTCCGCCTCCTAGGGTAACAGGACCCGCCGTCACGTTCCCGCTGGCCTGGGAAACCCTTGCCCCAAGCCGCGTCCCCAACCGCACCTTCTCCGGAACCCTCGGGGCCATCCTCTACGTACTATTGCTAGCCGCTCACGCCCTTGCCCGTCCCAGGTGCCCTTCCCCAGGCCCCGCCCACAGACCCCCAGAAACCTTTCCCAATTTTCCGCCACCCACCTCCTCAATAAATGTCAGCAGGCAATCACCCTGATCCGCACCTGCTGAGCTGCGCCCGTTAGCTCAACTACACTCTCAGGCCACGCCTCTTTCAGTCCCTTCTCCAGGCCCCACCTCCCCAAGCCCTACCCATCTTTCCACAGGCCCCGCCCACCGCTCCAACCTTTCAGTCCTTCCCTGAACCCCACATGTCCATTAGGCACCGTCCACCCTCCCAGCAGCCCCAGCTTCCGACTCCGCCCGCCCTCTCCATCCTACTTGAGCTCAGGCTCCGCCCCTCCCCGCCCCCTCAGACTCTGCCCACCCTCCCTAAGGCCACCCACAGGTTCCAGAGCACCTCTCAGGCTCCGCCCAACAGGAGGCCAGGAAAGCCCCAGGCCCCGCCCACTGGCCGCCAGCCCACCTGCGGGTCGGGTGTGCCCCCAGGCCTGCCCAACCTGCCGGGCCCTCACCCTCTCTTGTACAGGGCCAGCTCGCTGTTCAGCGTCCTCAGCCGCGCGCGCAGCGTCCGCTCCGACGCCCTCACCTCGTCGAGCTGCCGGGTGGGGAGAAGAGCGCAGAGATCCAGATGAGGTCGGGCCCAGGCCCTGCGGGCACCCCCATAGCTGCCCCCCCACCTCACCTCCTTGGCCAGGCGGCGGCAGTCCTGGCCGCGGCGCGCCGCCGTGGGGCCGAGGCCGCGCTCCTGCCGCAGCTCCAGCTCCAGGCCGCGCACGAGCCCGCGCAGTGCCTCCGCCTCCTGGCGTGCCGCCCGCCCGGCGAGCGCCTCTTCGCGTGAGCGGCCCAGCTGCACCTCCAGCTCGCGCTTCTCCGAAGACAGGCGCGACACCCTGGGGGAGACGGAAAGTGGAGATGGGCAGGAGGGTACGACCTCATCACCCCTGCCCTCCCCCACCCCCACTCACAGCCACCCCCACGGGTTAGGGTCAAGTCCCATCAGTGGGTCAAGTCCCATCATTCTCCCTCTTCCACGGGGGTGGGCAAGACCCATCATTTTCTCTCCTCCACCTCCCCCACGAAGGGAGAACATAGCCCTATCACCCACCAGCCGTCCCACAGGGAGAACAAGGCCCTATCACCCACCAGCTGTCCCACAGGAAGAACACGATCCTGCCACACCCTCTCCCCATGGGGCAGGGAGGGGGACACGGTCGTGCGGGTTCTAATTCCAAAATATTCCATCAGTCTGTTGCCTTCTCTACACCCGGCAAGCCCAGCCCTGAAGTCCTTGCCCCAGCCTCCCCCTGGTCTCCCAGCCTTGTCTCATCCTCTCCCATTCCAGAGGACTCTCTAAGATGCAAATCTGATTAGGTCACCTCAGTGTTCCAAACCTTTCCTGGACAAAATGACGTATACACGAGGCTATTCATCGCAGCACTGTTTGTAACAGCAAAAGACTGGAAATAACCACAGCGCGCATCCCTAAAGAACTGGCTGAATCTCTGGTACAGCCACTCAATGGCAGACCACACAACTAAAAAGGAATGAGAAAGTCGCTATGTCCTGTCACCTAGAGACTGCCAGGATATATTAAGTTTGTACTTAATACTGCAGAACAGTATATTCACTATGTCCCTTTTTATAAAAGAGGAATTATAAACTAGATATGTTGTTGTTGTTAGGTGCTGTTGAGTCGGTTCCAACTCACAGTGAGCCTGTGCACAACAGAAAGAAACCCTGCCGGGTACTGCGCCCATCCTCACAATCGTTGCTATGCTTAAGCCCATTTTTGCAGCCACTGTGTCAATGCATCTCGTTAAGGGTCTTCCTCTTTGTCACTGACCCTCTACTTTATCAAGCAAATTAGACATATGTCCACATTTTCAGAAAATATATAATGGATAAATTGAAAACAATAAAAATGGGTAACCTACTGGGGAAGGAACAGAGATGGAAACTAGACCCTTCCAAACGTACCCTCGTTTTAGTTTTGATTTTGGAACTGTGAAAATATTTTCTATAAATAAAAAACAAAATAAAATTCTAACAAAAGCAATCCCTAAAAATTTTCAAGCAACCAGCTCAAACAGACCTACCTGGGTATCACAGCTGGTGGCATAATGGAGAAGAATTATGTCAAGAGACTAAAACATATTTTAGCAAGTGGGATACAGCCTAAGGACAAAGAAATCTTAAACTTCATTTAGCACTCTTGTTATTAGTAATTATATTAGCATTGCTGGGATAAAGCAAATAAGTGATTATATTACTATCGCAAGAAAGTAAGCTTTTCAGCATGAGAAAAAAAGATTAAAAGAAATGTAAGAGACACATCAACAGACTGCAATGTGAGGCCATGTTTGGATACTACGTCAAAACAATTACAAAAAGACACCTGTCAGAGAAGTGTGAACACATACACACTGGGTATCAGGTGATGTTAAGGGGTTTTTGGTAATTCTATAGTATGTAATGACAGTATTGAGGGTTGTTTTCTTTGTTTTTTTTTTCTGTCCTTATATGTTAAAGAGCCCTGGTGGCATAGTGGTTAACAGCCCAGCTGCTAACCAAAGAGTCAGCAGTTTGAATCCACCAGCAGCTCCTTGGAAACCTTACAGGGCAGTTCTACCCTATGAGTCGCAATCGACTTGACGGCAACAGGTTTTATGGTAAAGCTACACACTGAAGTGTGTGTACAGATGAGATAGAAATGTCTACAGAGAGGGGAGGTGGGTAGATAAACTATGTGGGCAAAATGTTGACAATCATTAAAGTTGGGGCAAGGACATCTGCATTATACTATTACTGCGGTGCCATGAATTACTTAGTGTGACCCTTCTAGCCATCTTTGTGACTCACACACAATGACTGGGTGGGGCTGTGCAAATAAGGTAATTGTGGCCCACTGATGGGATTGGTTGGTTTTGCCATCCTGCTTGGCTTGGAGGGGAGCCAATGCCAGAGCAGGGGGAGGATCCACCACCACTAAAGAACGAGAGCCAAGAGTAGAATGTGTCCTTTGGACCCAGGACCCCTGCACTGAGAAGCTCCTGGAACCAGGAGACCGAGAGTGCTGTAACACTGAAGACGGCGAGAAGCAGTGGCAGAGAAATGGCCACAGGAGACAGTGCAGTGGGCTTTCCAGCCCATGGAGGGAGAAAGCTGAGTGCCTCCAGGCTGAGGCTTACTGGTGGGGTAGGGTGCCTCTGGGCACTTAACAACAGAGCTAAAACGGCTTTGTAACACTTGCCTAAGCAGGGCAGAGGCCGAGGGGCCAGAAAGAGGCATGCCTGTGGCACAGCTGGGAAGACACCGTCCTGATGGAAGAACTGTATCCTGAATGTTCCTGAGCCCGAATTATAACCTGTTACTTCCCTAATAAACCTCACAGCTGTGAGTATTGTCTGTGAGTTGTGTGTGGCCATTGCAACAAATCATCGAACCCAGCACAGAAGTAGAGAGCGCCATGGGAGGGACGGTTGGTGTCGGAATTGGTAAAGATGGCGGAGAGAGGAGGCATGTCTGACCTTCACCTCATAAGAATCAGCCTTGGGCTGTTGATATTGGTTCTCCTTCCCCCTTGTGAAGTGAAAGGAGGTCAGACACCACCCCTATGATGTTTTTACCATTACCTACTTTTATGTGTTCTTGGAATTTTCCCTAATAAAACATTGTAAAAGTCCCTAGTCAATGGAAACAGAACAGAATGGAATGAGAATGATGACACATTATTAAAAATTGTAACCAATGGCATGGAAAAATTTGTACAAAAATTGTTAAACGGGAACCTAATTTGCTGTGTAAACTTTCATCTAAAACATAACAAAATATTATTTTAAAAAGTCTCTAGTTCCTCCAAGTCTCCAAGCAGCTTCCCATGCAGTCCCTGCCCAGCTGACTTCCCCCTTCTCCTCCTCCCTCGCCCTCTCCCAGGATGGTCCAGCTCTTCAAATTCAGTTCCCCTCCTGGAATGATCCTCCTTCTCCTTGCAGGAGGGACTCCACTCATCCTTCAAACGGGAAAGCCCTCCTGCCCTGAGCCAGCCTGGGTCATGTCCCTCTGTTCTATGTTCTCTTGGCTCCCAGTACATTTCCTTCCTGGCACCAACCACCGTAGAGCTGGCATTTATCAATGAGATTATCATTTTCTGTCTGTATCCCCACCCCCCAAAGGATGGAGTCTCCATCTGTCTGGTTCCCCGTGCAAAAGCCTGGCTCTGAAGCCAGGTGGCCTGCGTTCAACTCTACTCCGTTTATTACAAGCTGTGTGACCTTGGGCGATTAAACTTAACAGCTCCAGACCTCAGTTTTCTCATCTGCGAATAGAGATGATAAGAATAATGAGAATACCTACCCGGTAAAGTTATAGGAGTCTCTGAAGAGTGCTGAGACCATGTCTAGCACACAGTAAGCGCTCCATAAATGTAAGCCAGTGCCAGGCAGTGTGCCTGGCATATAGTAGGAACTCCATAAATGGCGGATGAATGAATGAATGAATCTTGGAGTCTTCCCAAACTCCCTAACTCCAGGTTGGAAGGAAAAAGGTGAGAACTGACCAGCTGTACCACCTGAAGTCAGCCTCTCTAGATTCCCTGGTTGGTTACAAAAGACAGATGGCGCCACCTTGTGGCCATCCTCGGAACAACATGCCCTCACCCCCATTTCCTACCCTTCTAGGCCTGAGGATGGATTCTGATGATGAACTTGTCAAGCCTCCCACCCTGGCCTTTTGATGCTGTTTTCCTGCCCCTTGGCCTAGCATTTTACAGCCAGGACCCACATGACTCCCCAGCCCCTGGACAGGGGGCTGGTCCTCCCTGTCAGCACTTAGCACTCGGCTCTGGGCTGGTAGCTGCCAACAGCACACAGCAGCCAGGCAGGCTGCCTGGATTCAAGGCCTGGTGTGGCCATATTACTCATTGTGTGACCTGGGGCAAATTCCTTAATCTCTCTGGGCCTCAGTTCCCTCCTCTGTAAAATGCAGATGATAACAGTGCCTACCTCATGCAATGGTTATCAGGATTAAACTAATTAAATCATAAAACACTGAGCAGAGTGCCTGATACACAATTAAATACTCAATAAACGTTGTTGTTATTATAATATTACTATAATATTATAGCACAGTATTATTATTAAGGAGCCCTGGTGGCACAAACGTTTAAGTGCTAGGCTGCTAACCGAAAGGTCCTCAGTTCAAACCCACCCAGTGGCTCCACAGAAGACCTGGAGATCTGCTTCCATGAAGATTACAGCCTAGGAAACCCTATGGGGCAGTTCTACTCTGTTCTATAGGGTCGCTATGAGTTGGAATCGATTCGATAGCAGTGGGAAGGGGTACGGCACACAGTAGGCCCTCCATAAATGTGCCGAAAAACCGAGAGTCTGCCACCTTCACTTTCTTCACTCTTTCAGTCCCCTTGTTCTCACCAACTTCCCTGCCCACCACAAGCCCTTTGCACATGCTGTTCCCTCTGCCTAGAACACTCTTCCCCAGCCCCGCTGCCTGAGCCACTGCAAGATGCCAGTGAGTTTCCCTTAGAGCCCCCTTTCCTGCCTGACCCCTCGCTGTTCTGCAGCGATAAACTCGGGTGGCTACCTGACTAGCATCTACCTGCTCCCGGGCTGGGCGCTGTATGAGGGCAGGGAGGGGCCAGCACAAAACAGGTGTTCAGTGAAAGTAGACTCAACTGAATAGAGCTCTACCTCCCACCTTGTCTTTGCACATATTGTTCCCTATGCCTTGAACACACCTCCCCTCCAGGCAAGGTCAGGGCCCCCCTCGGGGCTCTGCCAGCCCTGTCCACTCTGGACCATCACTCTCTGGGGACAGATCTGTCTCCCCCACTGGTTTGTGAGCCCGTGGGGACAGGGGCAGGGCCATCTCTGTCACCATTGTGTCCCCACCGCCACTCACCACAAGGTTGGGCACAGAGGAGAGATTCAGAGCAAGTATTTGGTGAATAAGAGACAGCCGGTTTCCCAACAGTGCTGAGCAGGGGGCCCCGCAGTGCATGCTGGGATGTGTCTCCCCTTCCACCACTCCACCACCCCCAGCTGTCTGCCCTTTCCATACTCACTGCTCCCGCAGGTGCCAGATCTCAGCCTCCCGGGTGTCCCGAGCCTCCTGGCCGCCCAGCCCTCGAAGGCGGCCCAGCTCTTCCTTCAGTGAGCGGATGATGCCCTGGAGCACCACAGGGTCTGGCTTGCCCTGGTACGGGAGGGGCAGCGGGTAGTGAATCCTGAGGGGGGTGGATCAGAACCGAGGTATTTCAGAGACCAAGAATCCACCCGAGGGTAACTACTGGACTCTGAGAGCCTTAGAGGACAAAAACACACAATTCTCCAAGCCTCACATTCCTAGAAGCTACATTCTAAATGCAGCTTCAAGCCCCCTTCCCTGCCCTCATGCCCCTTCTGCCAGCCTGCTACCCCTTAGGCCCTCCTACGTAGCAGATTCGGAACCATCAGGATTGAAGGTCCTGGTGCAGCCTGAAGAAACTTCCCTCTCACACACTGCTAGGAGTGAACATCAGCATCACGTTACTTGCAGCCAAGCACACTCCTAATTCAGATTCCACAGAAGGAGATTCTAGTTGGCCTGACCTGAGTCACCCCTTGGCTGGGGAAAGGCAGGGTACCTTGATTAACTGTACTACCAGATCATATTCACAGAGGATAGATAACTTCCCACTAGAAAATTCAGGAGCTATTAGCAAATGTGGCAGACACTGTTCCCCAGCTACCCAACAGGCATCCCCAACTCCCTTCTCCCTTGTTGCCTCCCAGTATTAAGGCTAAAAAGACAAATATTCATTTTCCCAGCATCCCTTCCAGCTAGAGAAGGCCATGTGACAACTTTTGGCCAATCAAACATTACATAAAGTCTGTTAGAGGCCTTTTGGGAAAGCTTTTGTTTTCCTGATAAAAAGGGCAGATGCAGTTAGTATGTACTGCCCTGTCCCCTTTCCTGCCTTGATACAGATGCAATGCCTGGAGGCACAGCAGCCATTTTGTGACCATAAGGAGATAAGCCAAAAAACCAAACCCACTCCCATCGAGTTGATTCTGACTCATAGTGACCCTATAGGACAGGGTAGAACTTCTCCATAGGGTTTCCAAGGAGCGGTCGGTGGATTTGAACTGCCAACCTTCCTGTGAGCAGCCAAGCACTTAACCGCTACACCACCAGGGCTCCATAAGGAGATAAGATGAGGCAAAAACAGCAACACACCGAGAATGGTAGAGGGAGGGAAAAAGAGCCTGTGTCTTTAATGGAACTGCTAAGTAGCAGCCACCTACCCAAGACATCTTATTATGTGAGAAGGTTAAACTATTATAGGTTGAAGGCACTAGTAATTGGCTATTCTGCTACTTACAGTCAAACACAATACTACATGATACAAACTCCAACACCCAAGATTCCAAGGGCAATGCTTAACCAACATCCCCACCTTGCCCTGGGTACCAGAGGTTCCTGAGGTCTAACACATCCTCTCCCACCCAGCCCGCCAGCCTGGGCCTGGAGTCAACTCCTCGTCCCCACCTGTCAAACTCCACAGAGTAGATGAGGATCAGGTAGCGCTTGGAGTTGAGCTGGGCAGATCTCGGGGCCAATGGGCCTGGGCGGCCCCCCATCTTGCGGTTCCGCAGGGACTCCAGGTCTGTGTAGGTCAGCAGGTCGAGGGTGACGGACTCGCTGCTCTGTCGGGAGAGGCGAAGAGGAGCTGCCCCCGGACCCAACATGGACACACTCTGAGCACACAACCCACACGCCCAGACCATGCTCTGTCCCATCTCCAGACTGGCTGGGCTTTCCTACACTGAGGCTGGGGGGTGATCAAGATGGCCCTGCTCCAAGCCCTGGCACAAGGATATTGTCAAAGGGAGAAATTGGGAAGAACCTAAATGCTCAACTGCAGTGTGATGGATCGCTTTCACACAGCCTTTCTTTGGAAATCCTGGTGACGTAGAGGTTAAGAGCTACATCTGCAAACCAAAAGGTCAGCAGTTCAAATCCACCGGGCACTCCTTGGAAACTCTACAGGGCAGTTCTACTCTGTCCTATAGTGTAGCTATGAGTTGGAATCAACCCGATGGCAATGGGTTTCTTTGTTTTCCTCGCCATGGTCTTATGGCTCCCGCCCAAGTGACTTGATGGGACTGTGCAAATAATGTAATTGTGGCCCACCAAGGGGATTAGTCAGTTTTGCCTTAAAAGAGAGTCAATTCCAGAACAAAGACAGGATCCCATCACTACCAAGGAAGGACAGCCAAGAGGAGAGCGTGTCCTTTGGACCTGGGATCCCTGCACTGATCAGCTCCTGGAGCCAGAAGACCAAGAAAAAGAGAGAGAGATGGAACAGCTGAAGACAGCGAGAAGTGGTGGCAGAGAAGCAGTGGCAGGAGAAACTGGCAGCAGACACAAATGTGGTGGGCTTCCCAGCCCACTGAGCGAGAAAGTGGAGTGCCTTTGGGCAGGAGGCTGGCTGGCAGAGTGGAATGCCTCCAGGCACTCATCAGCAGAGCTAAAAGAGCTTTTAACACTTGCCTGAGCAGGGCAGAGGCTGAGGGCCAGGGAGAGACCTGCCTGCAGGCACGGCTGAGAAGAGGCTGTCCTGATGGAAAAACTGTATCCGGAGAATTCCTGAACCTAAATTGTAACCTGTTACTTCCCTAATAAACCCCATAATTGTGAGTATTGTCTGTGAGCTGTGTGTGGCCATTGCAATGAATTATCGTAGAGAGTGCTGTGAGAGGGACAGATGGTGTCAGAATTGGTAGAGATGGCGGAGAGAAGAGGCATGTCTGACCTCCGTCTCATAGCAATCAGCCTTGAGCCCTAATCTTGATTCTCCTTCCCCCTTGTGAAGATAAAGGAGGTCAGACACCACCCCCATGCCATTTTTACCTCAACCCTGGGGTGTAGCTTAGAGCTGCAGTTCTCCAAGTGTTGTCTTCAGATCCAGACCCCTGGGGGTCCCCGAGACCCTTTCAGGGAGTCCATGAGGTCAAAACTATTTTCATAATAATATTAGACATCATTTTCCTTTCTCACCGTGCTGATATTTGCACTAACGGTGCAAAAGTGGGTCAAACTCTGCTGCCACAGGAGGGATCAAGTCAATGGCACCGAGTGGTACTTACTAGTAGTCACTGTATTCTAAGCCACACATTAATAGTTTCACAATTTTATATGCACAAATAAAATTTTATCTGTAAGCAGAGAAATAATATAGCTCATCAAAAGTTCAAAGATGAAAGAGCTATCTATATGGGATCAAGTTGACAACAGCAACATAGAAGATTAGACAGAAATCTTAGGGGGCAGTGAGTTTGTTAATGGGGGAGGGACAACTCAGAAAAGGGGGGTGAGAATGGCCGCACAACATGAAGAATGTCATCCGTGTCACTGAACTGCACATGTAGGACTTCTTGGACTGGGATATATTCTGCTCTGTACATTCTCAACAACAAAAACAAATAAATTCATTAAAAAAAGACCTAGTGTTTTCGCACACACACAAATAAGTTTAAAGATGACATGTAGTTATCTGAATAGCACCTTGTCACTTTAAATTCTAACCTTGCTTTTCGTATTCTATTAATACTTTTAAACCTGACATTATCCTTTTTTTTTTTAATTGTCTATCTCCCCCACTAGAATGTCAGCTCCATGAGGGCAGGGTTCTTTTGTCTCTTTTGTTCCTGGCTGCATCCCCAGTTGTCTGGCATGGAGTAGATGCTCAGTAAACATTTTCAAATCTCAAACGAAAAACTGAAATGAGTGAGTGGGTACATTCACTGATGTAACCAAACGTTTAGAAAATATTTTTGTATTTTTGTAAAGCAGGTTGCAGAATACCTTGGAAAATATATCGACTAGACATAGGGTCACTGTGAGACAGAATCGACTCAATGGCCACGGGTTTATATATAATTATGCTGTTGTTGTTAGGTGCCATTGAATCGACTTCAACTCACAGCAACCCCATGTGACAGAGCAGAACTGCCCCATAAGGTTTTCTAGGCTGTGATCTTTATGGAACCCTGGTGGCACAGGGGTTAAGAGCTCATTTGCTAACCAAAAGGTCAGCAGTTCAAATCTACCAGCTGTTCCTTGGAAACCCTATGGGGCAGTTCTACTCTGTCCTATAGGGGCGCTAGGAGTCAGAATCGACTCAACAGCAACAGTTTAATCCTTATAGGAATAGATCACCAGATCTTTCTCCCACAGAACCACTGGGTGGATTCGAACTACCAAACTTTCAGTTAGCAGCCAAATGCCTAACCACTGCACCACCAAGTCTCCTTATATATAATTAAATATATATAATTATAGATCTACAAATACATACATACACATACACACACACAGACACACACGCACTCACAAATGAATAGAGAAATGCCTAGAATAATTTTCATCAAAATGTTAACAGGAGTGACTAACGGGAGTGGAATGATTTTTACCTTCTTCTTTACACTTCTCTGTGATTTGAATTTTCTACGTGAGAATAACTCTTATTAGAAGCAGAATAAAACACTAAAGCCATTTACATTTGGGAAAGAAGGAAAGAAAGAGACAGCCAGCTATGACCTAGGAATGGAAGAGTGGCAAAGAGTCACATACACATTAGATGGCCATCTACTCCCAGGGATCCAGGGGACAGAATCTCCTTCCCCACCCGAGCCCCCAGCACCGGTCCCTACCTGGGTGAGGGCTGACTCCAGCATGTTACAGAAGATGTTGAACTGTTTGAAGTTCCCTGTCTTGTGAGTCAAATCTTCGATGACTGGGTGGGGAGAAAAGTCTCTCCTGTGGTCTGACCACTTGCTCAGCCCCAGGGCCTCACATTCAAGCTCTCCAACTCTCCCTGGCCCCGTGCCTCTCGCCTGAGGGAGGAGCCCGACGCCCCCGCCCCACCTTGGACAGCTGGTCAGGTAGAAGAGGCCAGCGGGTAGGATAGTTGGCTGGCCTCATCTTCTGGGAGGAGAGGGGAGCCCACGCCAGGCAGGCACACTCACAGCTGGCATCGAACTCGCCTCGCCACTGGTCGGCTGTCATCCGGTCCTCCACCTCCAGCTCCAGCACCTGCCCCGAAACCACCACCCGCACAGCATGCTCCACACCCCGGAAGACGTAGTCCACTTGCAGGCCGGCCGGCTGGTCCATGGCCAGGGTCGCTGGAGAAGGGAACGAGACAGAGACTCACAGGGACTGAGAGCCCAGCTCTCAGGATTCATATTCTGGCTCCACCATATACAAGCCATGGCATCTTACGAAAGTGACTTCATCTCTCTGTGCCTGTCTCCTCATCTGGAAAATAGGTATGATAATGGAATCCACCTCACTGTCATGAGGATTAAATTGGACGATACACATAAAAGCACTTAGAACTATGTCCTGCATGTTACTATGCTCAATGTTGTTACTGGGTGCCATCGAGTCGATTCCGACTCACAGTGACCCAATGCAACAGAGTAGAACTGCCCCATAGGGTTTTCTTGGCTGTAATCTTTATGGGAGCAGATTGCTGAGTCTTTCTCCTGTGGACCCACTCTGCTGAATACATGCTAGCTAGTAGAATATACGATTACCAACAAAAGAACAATTAATACTGTTGATTATTAATGTATCATTAATCCTTATACACATTATCCACCATCTGTCAGTTTGTCATACTGTGGTGGCTTATGTGTTGCTGTGATGCTGGTAGCTATGCCACTGGCATTTCAAATACCAGGAGGGTCACCCATGGCGGACAGGTTTCAGCAGAGCTTCCAGACTGAAAGAGACTAGGAAGAAAGGCTTGGCGATCTACTGCCGAAAATCAGTCAGAGAAAACCTTGTGGGTCACAACAGAACATCTGACTCATTTGCTATGGACATCAGGAGGGATCAACTGCTGGAGGAGGATATCGCATTTGGTGAAGTAGAGGGTCAGTGAGATGGATTGGCACATGAGCTGCAACAATGGATTCGAACATGCCAGCATTTGTGAGGATGATGTAGGACGGACAGGGCAACTTTTAGTTCTGTCGTACATAAGGTCGTCATGAGTTGAAGTCAACTCAACAGCAGCTACGGATCTATCTATCTGTTGTTGTTGATGTATATCCGACTCATGGCAACCCCGCGTGTGCAGAGTAGAACTGCTCCGGAGGGCTTTCAAGGCTGTGCCCTTTCAAGCAGGATCTCCAGGTCTGTCTTCCGAGGCACCTCTGGGTGCCAAACTTTCAGCTAGTAGTCAAACATTTAACTGTTTGGGCCACTCAGGGACTCACTCACTCCACCTATCTGTTCTCATTATATATTTATTATTATTTCTTCTTCCATTCAGCAAACATTTGTGGAGAAAAATAAAGCTGGAAAGGGGGACAGGAGTGTTGGGGTGGAGCAAGGCAGAGATTTTAAATAGGGAAGTCAGGGTGGGCCTAGCTGGGGAGGTGATATTTGAGCAGAGACCTGAAGGAAGTGAGGGAGTGAGCCAAGTGGCTCTGGGGAAGGTGCTCCAAGTCGAGAGAACAGCCAGTGCTATATATTATCTATGATACACTTAAATCCTTTACACTGAATTAATAACTGATTTCATTAAGCATAAGAACAAGGAGCCCTGGTTAAAGCACTCGGCTGCTAACTGAAAGGTTGGTGGCTTGAACCACCAGCTGCTCTGCAGGAGAAAGATGTAGCAGTCTGCTTCCATAAAGCCCTGGAAACCCTATGGGGCAGTTCTGCTCTGTCCTATACGGTTGCTATGAGTCAGAGTCAGCTCGTCGGCAGTGGGTTTGGCTTTGGAAGGATAAGAACACTCTCTTAGCCAACAGAGCTACTATTCACTGTTAGTTCTACAAGCAGCTAGAAGAGAGGGTCAGTCCTCCACCCTCAGACTGGATTCTGGGGGTGGGGGTGGTTCCGAATGGGAGCTCTGGGCTGCCTGGGTTCAAGTCCAGGTTCTGCTGTGTGTACACAGGCAAGTTACTTAACCTCTCTGTGGGCCAGATTCCTCATCTGAAAAGTGTGCGCCATCCTGGGGGCTGGGGATTCAATGAGAAACCAGATGATGTCCCTGCCCTCAAGAGTGGGGGACAGGCAGATGTATAAAAATGTCAAGTGCAGGTAGATTCTGGGGAAAAGGGGTGCTGAGGGAGAGGCTGCTCTTTTAACTCAAGTGACCAGGAATGGCCACTGAGGGGGGACATTTGAGCAGAGGCTGGGAGGGAGGGAGGAAGGGAGACGTGAATATCTGGGGGAAAGGTGTGCAGGCAGAGGTGTGCCAGGCAAAGGCACGAAGAGAGGATGTTCCTGTTTGTTCTAAGAACGGCAGGGAACTGTGGCTGGCAGAGACTAAGCAAGTGAGAGAGGGCTAAGAGAGGAGACTGGAGATGTAACAGGAGCCAGATGACGTTCGTGCAGGCCTTTGTAAGCCCACAGGAGACTAACAGACCTCCCTGGACTGTTATAAGGATTAAATGAGCTACTCCTATTGAAGGCCTGAGAGAAACTGAGCAATGTCTGACACGTAAAGCAAACATGCAGTACATGTTGGTATCATCCTTATTATTACTACTACTCTGTGGTTTGAGCTTGAAGGAGACCAGAGAGACAAGGTAGGCTCATCCTCTCTCCAGTGTACAGATGGGGAAACCGAGGCTCAGTGAGGAAAAGGACCCTGGCCAAGGTCCAACACCTGCTCCAAAGACAGTCACCCAGGGCTGCCCCCACCCCAGATCAAGGAGAACATGGGTCTCCTCTCCTTCTCTACCACCACCTCCTCTCGTCATCATACTTTTCCCTGGATTCTAACTTGGGGAAACAGAACATTATGAAGGAAAAGGAGATGAGCTCTAAAACTCTGCGGAGCTGGGGGGAGCGGGGTTCAGAATTATTTTTAACCTTACTGGAGTCCTTGAGCCTTTGAGAATCTAATGAAATCTCTGAATCCTCCCAGCTATACGAACAGGCCGACAACGTTTCACCTGTAATCTCAGGCGACCTCAGAATACCCCCAAGGCCCATCCACCGACTTGTTTCCGATGCTCATCATCCCGGGCATCCAGACAGACACCTCTGTCTCTAGATCAGAGCTCTTTATTTGGGGGAGAGGTCTCTGGTGATGTGCAGGGGCTAAAGAAATCTAAGGACCTCTTCCCCTGGAAAATTCACACCCCCTCTAAATTGTGCTTTCATTCTCAGGGGGTCAGGGGCCTGGATTAATAATCCCTGATCTAAAGTGCAAAAGAATCGCAGCACGTTTCAATGTATCCCTCACCCCACGAACTCCACCGTGGTGCCATGCTGCGCTGGCCCCGCCCCTCTAGGGGTGGAGCCCTGGCTCACGGCCCCGCCCCCTCGAACTCCACTAGCCAATCGGCGGCCGCGCTGTCCGGATTACCAAGGCGTCAGGGCCGCCCCCCGGAACTCCTACCGAGAGCGCGCAGCATCATTGCTGCTACTAGTGGTACCCAAGCGAGGGGGAAGAGGCCCGCCCCGCCCCGCCGCCAACCCGGCCCCACCCTCCTCCTTTGCCAATTCACATCAGCTCCCTATTTTCACCTGGCAAAAGCAACGCCGCCCTAGATCACAGTGCCTTTCTGCAGACACTAACACTGAAGTCATCAGCCCCCACCCCACCACCTCCGACCCCTCCCTCACCTCCACTAACTTCGCCGGCTCCCCTCCCCCACCGGTCCCTGCTCCTGAGCAGGTCGTAAAAGCGCTCAACAATTACGGATGGAATAAATCCCACACCCCCGCCAGCTCAACCCTCCACCCTCGACCTAAACTCCCCATCACGCATTCCTCAAACTGCCACGGGGTTCTGGGCTCTCCCTCCCCTCCCCTCTGCAGAACCTCCCTCCTTGCCTATTAAGCCCTGCCCCCTTGTGCCTTCCCCCGTCCCAGTCCCTTCTTTCCATCCACTCTCCCATGTTGGGGGGGAGGAAGAGGAGGCAGCCGCAGTCCCCTTCTTCCATCAGTCCCCCATGTTGATGAGGGACCATATTCTACCTGGATTCTACCCCCACATTATTCCACCTGGATTCTGCCCGTATGTTTGCTCAGGATTGTATTCCACACACACCCCCACTTTCAGCCTGTATCTGTCACCTCCATATTTCACCTGGATTCTGCTCCCCTCCCAAATTCTGTGAAAACTCCTGCACACACATTTTCCACCTCTCTTCCCTGTGGTAAGTCCTCCCTGAACCCGCCCCCCCACCCCATTTCTGGGATTCTCCAGGCCCTGCACAGCACCCCTCCGCCCAGGCCGCGTCCCTTTACCTGCATCCTCTGTCCTCACTCAGTGACCAGCAGCCCATCCTGGTCGCTGGTTTAGTCCCAGTCCCAAGTGTCTCCTAGCTCCTCCTCTCCACCTCAGCCTCCTGACCCACCGATCCCAGCCCTGCCTCTGAGGCCCCGCCCCGCCAACCCCTGACGTCACCACTTCAGCCCCGCGCTGGCTGTGTGGACACCCCATTGTGGCCCCCACACCTGACGCCAGTTCTCAGGCCTCATGGCATCATGGACGTAAACACACACACACAGACACACACACAGATTTTCCAGTCCCCGTTCCCATCACCGCCCCTGGCTCCTCCTCCCGGATTGCGCTCCGCGGGATATTTTACAGATTTCCCAGTCCACAGCCCAGGGCCGGGCTCCCCAAAAACAAATCCACACCACCATGTCCCACATCAGACATCCCTAAATAACCGTCCCTGGCAGCCCCCACCCCATGGCTGTTTTCCCACCCTGGGCAGCCCCCCTCACATACCTCAGCCCGGCCATGCCCTAGCTGGGCTCCCCAGCGCTGCACGCTCCTCCTCACCCCTCTTCTTCCTCCTCCACCATGGCTCACCTCTGAGCTCACCTCCCCAGCATGTGCGCAAATTTGAGCTTCAGAGGATCCTTTTGTCCCTGCAACTCCACAGAATAAACCAGTGCCCACATTGTCCCCCGGGGATTTATCAACGTATAAAGTCCTCTAGGACATACCACAATCCAGGCTTCCGTAGTCCACACAGCAGCCCTTCTCCACCGCCTCCTGGGGTAACCATACCCTCCCACTGCCCCCCAAATGCTTTCTCCTTAGATACTCCCACGCATGCCCATCATCCCAGTAATCCCCCTTCTTTCTGCTCTCCGGTAGGTATTATACACCATTTGCTGTAAGGTCCATTCCCACTAATGTTGACCCCATGTGTGTCAGTAGAACTATGCTCCATAGTGTTTTCAATGGCTGACTTTTCAAAAGTAGATCGCCTGGCCTTTTTCTTCCAAAGCATCTCTGGTTGGACTCGAATCACCAGCCGAGAGTGCTTACCATTTGCACCACCCAGGGACTCTTTTTTTTATAGAGAATGAAACAGAGGCTAGTCTAGGACCCCACAACTAGGCCCTGGAACGTTTGCCCCCTTACTCATTACCCAGCTGCCCTTCCCTGACCACCCCCTCCCGGTTTTCTCCCAGAACTCCCTGCTCCTTTCCCTCCTGGCACTAATCCAAACACAGCCTCAGCATAGCACACCCTGCAGGCTGTGGACCCCTGGGTTCAGATACATTGACTACCCTCGGTGTCACCCTCTCTGGGATTTTCCCCACCAGCAAAGTGGGGAATAAGAGTTCTCACCTACGGACTGGTGTGGGGATTAAATTAGTTAATACATACAAGGCGCTTCAAACAGTGGCATTCAGTCGCCAGCTGCTACCATCTGTGAGATTGGTTGACAAGTGTCTGCCTCCTCCCCCAGCCTGGGAGCCCATGAAGGCAGAGCCATTTCCATCATTCTTGTATCTTCAGTGCCCAGGGCCTGGCACAGATCAGGGGTTTCTGGTGAATTCACGGGAGATGCCAGGAAATGGGGTCCCAGACACAGGGGATACAGCCAAGGTCCTCCCCTAGGCTGACTCCTTGTTCTCCTCCAGGTCTCAGCTCCAATGTCCCCTTGGCAGGAAGCCCTCCCAGACTCCCAGGCTGGATCAGGGCTGTCTCAGTCACCATCGGTGTCCCCAGCATGGCCCAGAGAGAGCAGGCACAGAGGAGGAGCTGGGGGATGAGAGAGCCATTTCCCCCCAGCCCAAGCTCTGAACCCGCCTAACAGTACTTCTCAAGGTGGGAGCCACAGACATCATCACCACTAGGGTCACCTGGTGGCACAGTGGTTAAGCACTCAGCTGCTAACAGAAAGGTCAGTAGTTGGAATCCACCAGTCACTCCACAGGAGAAAGATGTGGCAGTCTGCTTCCATGACGATTACAGCCTTGGAAACCCTATGGGGCAGATCTACTCTATCCTATACATTCACTATGAGTCGGAACAGACTCAACGGCAATGGGTAGGTATAGGGTATGGGTAGGGGCACCTGAGGAAAAATGCAGGTTTCTGGGCCTGGTCCCAAAGCTACCAAATCAGAACGTCTGGGGGTGGAGCCAGGAATCTGCATTTTCTAAAAGTTCCCCCTGACACTAACTAGAGTTGAGATCTTCTGCCCTTGAGCACTGTGGCCTGCCTAGTTCATCACCCCCAAACTGACCCCACCACCCGCCACAAGATCTGCCCAGCTCAAAACCCTGCCCCTGCCACAGGGAACCCTGAGAATGGTAGGAATGGTGGTAACAGTAGGGGTAACACTTTTTAAGCACCTACATGCCAGGCACTCTTCTGGGTGCTGAGTTCCTATATTCACATGGAGCCCACACTCTAGGGGGCACTGAGAATCCCGGTGGATATAAACAAACAATAATATATGTCATCAAGTACTGGTAATTGTTATGAAGAAAAATAAAGCCAGGTGAGGGGCCAGGGAGTGACAGAAAGAAGACCTTTGCTAGGTAACAAGGGCCTATACTGGGAGTTGACATTTGAACAGAGACCTGAAGGGGGTAAGGGAAAAAGTTACACAGACATACATCTAAGGGGAACATGATCCAGACATAGAGAAAAGCAGGTACAAAGGCCCTGAGGTAGGAATGTATTTGCTATGTTCCAGGCACAGTGAGGAGACCAGTGTGGCTGAAGCAATGTGTGAGCGACACACATTGTTGAGGTCAGGGAGAAAGGGGAAGCTGGACCGCTTGGGGCCTTGTGGGCTAGGTGAGGACTATTTACTGAGTGAGCTGGGAGCCATGAGCGGGTCTCAACAGAGGAACAGCATGATCTGACTTTTGTTTTAACAGGATCCCCCTGTCTGTGGGAGGCAAGGAGAGCAGTGAGGAGACCCTGCAACAGACCAGGCAAGAGGAGGTGATAGCTCAATCCAGAGTGGTAGCAAGGGAGGTGGTGAGACATGGTTGGAGTCGGGATGTGTTTTAAAGCAGAGCCACTGGGATTTGCTGATGAACTGGACTGTAAGTGGGGTGGGAGAAGAGAGAGGAGGAAAGGTAAACTCCAACATTTTTGTCCTGAGTACCTGGAAGGACAAACTTGAATGAGGAAGACTGGGTTTGGAGGTTGAAGGATGGAAACCTCAAGTTTGGTTTGGGACATGTTTAAGTCTGGACGTCAGCTGGCCTTGAGAAAAGAGAGTCAACCACTGAATACATGAGTCTGGAGTCAGGCGAGAGATCCAGGCTGGAGAGAGACACCTGGGAGTTTATACCTGGGAGATTACAAAGAGCTTTTGAAGCCAAGGGACTGAGTGAGGCCACCAGGGGAGTGGTATAGACAGAGAAGAGATGAGGTCATTCCGATGACAAAACCGAGACCCAGGAGGGTTAAGTAACTCGCTCAAAGCCACCATGCTGTTCAGTGGCAAGACCAGTGTCAGAACCAACCCTCTTTACCCTCGGGCAACCCCACCCCAAAGCCAACACTCTTAGCCACAAGCAGGCTTATTGGGAGCCAGGCACAAGCCTTCACATCCACATCCCTGGAGGCCTCACTCCTCTCCTCACCCCACATACAGTCCAGTCCATCTGCAAGTTGCCTCTTCACGTGCCCTCTACCCAATACTCGCCCCCAAACCAAAGCTTATAACTCATCGCAGGGATCACCGCCCCTCTATTCTGAGCTATAAAAACCCTCTGCCTTAAAACTTGCCATTAAGTCACAACCCTATAGTACAAAGACATCTCTATATGACCCTTGATTTACACACTTTTCCATTAAAGACCCTCCTACGAAATACAGAGCACCCCCAGACTCAGCCCTCCGCCTCACAACCCCTCATCAAAGAGCCAACACGTATTAAAGGGCACGACCCCCCCATTCCCACAAGGCTCGGTCAGCTGCCTACTGCAGCCCACTCTCCCTCAGAGCACCCCCTCCCCCCAAGACCGCCGTCCCAGCCCGCGCACCCGCCGCTCTCTCCGCCTCTCACCTTCTCCACGGACACCCCCTCCTCGCGAGCGGTTCAACTGCCGAAACCCCAGCCCCGCCCCAGGATCCGGTCTTCTCGCTTCTGATTGGTCGTGGCTGACGAGCAGCCCAGCTCCCATTAGTCAAGGTGGACGCCCGTCACTCTGACCCGCCCCAGAGGAGAACCCGCCCCCTCGAAGCTTCTTTACTGGCTAATAACGCTGCCAGTCACACAAGGAAGGTTGTTCCTGGGGGGTGGGCACAGGGAGACACCCGGAAGTAGCTCTCGACCCCGCCCACCACCCCCTGCAGCGTGGTCGGCCGCGCCCACGTGAAGGGGAGGGCTGGGGGGAAGAGGAGAGGATGGGGCGCATGCGCATAAGGAGGCTTTAGCTGGCGGTGCGAAAGCTACGGGAATGTTCTTCGCGTAATGACAAGTTGAGATTTATCGTTGCTCAGTGCATGCCAGGTCTGTACTAAGCACTTCACAGGACTTGGCTTACTTGAAGTTTATAACAACCCTGCAAAGTAGGCACTATTATGTTCCCAATTTTGCCGCTAAGGAAACAGGCTCAAAGAGGTACAGCCACTGGCCAGGGATCACACAGCTTGAGCGCGATCCCTATTTTGAGACAATGAGTCAACAGGAGCAGAAACAGGTTTTGTGGGTCTGGAAACTTATAGAATGTGGAGGATCCTCTTTAAGAAAAAGAATACAAAAATCACAAACACAAAATTAGATCTGACCATGAAAATTTACTTAGAACGTGAATAATAACAAATCATATATTTAAAAGAGCTGACAAATACCACAAATATTGCAAAATCCCAAGAGATAACGAAATGTTTTAATTCATTTACTGTCAGACAAACCTCTGTGATATGTTTCTTACTTTTTTGGCTATGTACACTTATCCCGATCCACAAAGATAATAGAAAAGTTAATTATTTCAAACTTTTTTATTCATTATAATTTAGAAAAAGTTTCGGCTCCATAAGTCAGCATTAATAGTGTCATCTAAATTTTTAGGAAATTAGGGGAAACTTCCATGACGTTTCATTCATGTTAGCTATACGTTTTGGGAAATGGTTCCACAGACTACCTTCTGGCTCTGTACCTTTCAATTCTAGTCTCACCTCCATAACCCACGTGCCTCTGGAGTCGCCACTAGAGGATACTTCAGCACCGTGGACAGGGGGAGAATTCCTGGAAGCCGTTCCTTAGTTTCCTACGCCAGGACAACTACCCGTTGCCAGTCAAGTTGATTCCGACTCATAGCGACCTGTAGGACAGAGTAGAGCTGCCCCATAGGGTTTCCAAGGCGGTAATCTTTACGGAAGCAGACTGCCACATCTTTATCCCACGGAACAGCTGGTGAGTTTGAACTGCCAACCTTTGGGTTAGCAGCCGAGCACTTAACCACTGCGTCACCAGGGCTCCTTCCAGGACAACTAGTTAGGTAATGTACGTATACATGGGCATATCTGTGAACCACAAAATATATCCCACTAAACTCACTCTAAATGTATCCTCAACTCACCTCCGACCCAGCAAGATGCTGGGGTCACTCCAACAACACTTAGGGCAAAGGGAACTGTGCGGGGTGGTGGGGGGGAGTAGCACTGAGGAAAGACAGTGGCCTTAACCAATTGCATTTTAAATATCTCCCTTTTGCAAATTTTGCAAAAACATCAGACTATAGGAACACATTGCTAGGGCCACTCTAAGGTCCTTGGACACCGGGGTGATGAGATATTTTCGATAGAAGTGGTGGTTGCGCAACATCGTGAATGTACTAAATACCACTGAATTGTACATTTCTAAATGGTCAGTTGTGTGCTATGTGAATTTCACCTCAATTTTTTTTTTTTAAAAATAAGTTTTTAAAAAGAAAAGATTAAAAAATAATTCAGGTGAGAGATGATTGGGGCTTTTACGAGGGCGGTGGCAGTGGAGGTGGTGAGAAGTGGTTATCATCTGCATATATTCTGAAGGTAGAGCTGACAGAATTTGCTGATGGATTGGGTGTTGGGAGGAAGAGAAAGAGTCAAAAATGACTCCAAGGTTTTTGATCTGAGAAGCTGCCAAGATGGAGTTTCCATTTACTGAGATTAGCTGAATAGCAGGTGTGGGGTGGGGGAAGTGGGGATTGGGAGTTTGGTTTGGGACATTTGGAGTTGGAGGTGCCTAATGGATGACCAGAATGTCCCTTAGAAGTGAGAATGGCAAGACATTAGACACATCGTCAGGAAAGACCAATCGCTAGAAAAAGACATTGTATTTGGTAAAGTAAACCAAACCAAACCCGTTACCATCGAGTGGATTCCAACTCATAGTGACCCTATAAGACAGCGTAGAATTGCCCTGTAGGGTTTCCAAGGAGCAGCTGGTGGATTCGAACTGCTGGCCTTTTGGTTAGCAGTCAGCTCTTAACCACTGTGTCACCAGGGCTCCTTAGTAAAGGGTCAAAAAAAAAAATCCCGAAGGGAACTCTCAACAAGATGGATTAACACGTCTTAGTCATCTAGTGCTGTTATAACAAAACATACCACAAGCAGATGGCTTTCACAAACAGAAATTTATTCTCTCACTGTTTAGGAGGCTAGAAATCCAAATTCAGGGTGCCAGCTCCACGGGAAGGCTTTCTCTTTCTGTGGACTCTGGGGGCAGTTCCTTGTCATCAATCTTCCCAGGTCGAGGGGCTTCTCAGCGCAGGGACTCCGAGTGCAAAGGACGCGCTATTTTCCTAGCTCTTGTTTCTTGGTGGTATGAGGTCCCCCTGTCTCTACTCGCTTCTCTCTTTTATATCTCAAAAGAGATGGATTTAAGACACAACCTAACCTTGTAGATTGAGTCTTGGCTCATTAATATAACTTCGGCTAATCTCACCTCATTAACATCATAGAGGTAGGATTTACAACACATAGGAAAATCACATCAGATGACAAAATGGTGGACAATCACACAATACTGGGAATCATGGCCTAGCCAAATTGACACACATTTTGGAGGGACACAGTTCAGTCCTTAACAACACAATGGCCTTAACAATGGACTCATACGTTCCAATGATCATGAGATGGTGCAGGACCAGGCAAAGTTTTGTTATGGCCACCATAAGTAGGAGCCAACTCAGCAACTAACACCAGTAACAACAATGGGCATCCAAATGGAAAGAGGAAATGTTGAGTAGGCAGTTGAATATAAAAATCTGGATTCAGGGATGGGGTCCAGCCGATAGATATAAATTGGCAACCCATCACCAAAGGAGTGCGTAAAGAGAGAAAGGAGAGAGGATCAAAGACTGAGCCCCAAGATCCTCCAACATTTAGAGACCTCAAAAGTGAGGAAGATGCAGTAGAGGAGACTGACAAAAAGCAGTCCTGGAAATCATGGTAGCATAATTATGAGAGTGGGGTGTCCTGGAAGCCAAGGGAACAAAATAAACCAAGGAGAAGTTAAGTAACTTGTGAGATGAAACAATGTCAAGTAACACTTTGTTGTTAGCTGCCATGGATTTGACCCCTATCTCATGCTAACCCCACGCGCAAGGGAACAAAACACTGCCCGGTCCTGCACCATCCCCGTGATTGGTTGTGGATCAGACCATTGTGCTCCATAGGGTTTTCATTGTCTGATTTTCGGAAGTAGGTCACAAAACTTTTCTTCCAAGGCATCTCTGGGTGGACTTGAACCACGAACCTCTCAGTTAGCAGCCAAGCACGTTAACCATTTGTACTACCCAGGAACTCCAGACATCTGTTAGTTTGTGGCAATTCTGGGTAGAGATGAGGACTAAAGACACCCAGAGAAGCTAAACTGATCTACATAAGAAAGTACATAAAGCACCGGACTGACAAAATAACCGCAGTAACACCAAGTTCTGGAGAAATATATGGAAGAACGAGTCACTTGGCACTGATGGTGGGTGTGTAAATAGGTGAATCTTTTCTGGAGAGGAATACTTTAAGTAATCAAATTAAATATGAGGACACCTGATGACCTAATTATCCCACTCTCCAACAAGCCCGTAAATGAGGTATATATGAGGATACACATTAAAGTACAGTTTGAGGTAGCAAAGAGCTGGAAGGAACTAGATGTTCATCCTAGGACTCAAGAAGTACAATGCAGAACACATAACGGTATACTACATAACAATATAAGGAGCCCTGGTGGCACAGTGGTTAAGCTCTTGGCTGCTAATGTTTTTTTTTTTCAACACAAAAATATGAAAGAAGGAAAAGCTAATGTCAACATAAAAATAAACCAAACCCATTACTGTCGAGTTGATTCCGACTCATAGCAACCCTAAAGGACAGAGTAGCACTGCCCTCTAGGGTTTCCAAGGCTGTAATCTTTATGAAAACAGATTGCCACATCTTTCTTCTGTGGAGTAGCTGGTGGATTCAAACCACTGACCTTTCAGTTAGCAGCCCAGTGCTTAACCACTGTGCCACAGAGCTCCTTCTAAAGTCAACATAGCGCTTGCTAAATGCTGGTGCTAAATGCTTTCAGATGCCAACTTGCAATGATCCTATGAGAAAGATACCATTATTTAACAACCCCCCCCATTTTACAAACAGAGAAACTGAGGCCAGAGAGGTTAAGTAATCTGCCCAAGGTCATTCAGCTAGTAAGCAGCAGGGCTGAGACTTGAACCCAGGCAGCCTGCTCCAGAGTCTATGCACTCACTCACCATGAACTAGAAATAAACACAGCAACGTACAGAGCTCTCAAAGAGCACAAAAAAAGGGAAGATAATAAGGTTTATAGCTCAATGACACTTTTTGCAAATTTAAAACACATGTACAGTAAAACTGTCTTAATAAAAGAATAGGAGAAGGATATGTATTAGGTTCTCCAGAGAAACAGAACCAATAGGATAGATGTACATACATACACCTGTGTGTATATAAACACACGCATACACACACACGTGAACATATATATGTAAGTGTCTTAGTTATCTAATATTCCATCCTTTGGCACTCCAAAATTCATGTCCTTGCCACATGCAAAACATATTAACCCATCACATC